TTTGACATCAAGTAGAACTATCTTTGAGAGCTTCATTTTTTACACCAATTCTAAAATAGAATATATGAACTGTGGATCTGATGTTGGCCTATAAATTCGGCCAAAAGCATTTGTTAGTACGGTGGTACCTCGGGATACGAATGCCCCAGCATACGAAATATTCAGGATACGACACGAAATTCGAACATATTTTTGCTCCACGATACAAACAAAAACTCACCATACGACATTACATTAGTTCGCAGCGCCATTTTTTATTCACTTCTGTTCATCGGTCTTGGTCCACATGTTTGCTTCGTCATGGAAGGATCTTGCTCCCGAAATCTCGAGGGGCTCCTGTCTCTCAACACCGAGCCATCCCATTGTGAACATGGCCAAACCAATAATGGGCTTGCTAAAAAAGAGGCCTTTTTAGTGCCCACAGGGTGGAAAGACTTTAAAAAAATAATTAATATTTAAGTAATTTATCATTAATTTAAACAATTACATATGTTTTAACTACCACAATAATTTTTAAAACTGATATACTATTGCATAAAAAATGAACATAATTTTACATATTCAACTTCTTATTTCAAGAAATTGAAGAACAGTTCCATATCACACAATCACATTTAACAGATGAATAAATAAAGATTAGAAAACAAACAAGGAATCTTTTGTCAAGGAAACATTTTTCTGGACTCCTTGTTTGTTTGTTAACATTTATTTTTTTATTCTTTACGTAATAATTTTACTAATAATTGAATTAAGATCTGATAATTTAATCAGATATTTTTTAAAATTTATATCAATCTTCTCATAATGTATATAAAATATATAAAACAATAAGGTAAGAATTTGTTCTAACTTCTGATTGGCAAATAAAGTAAAACTTTGTTTTTACAACAGAAGCAAAAATTATTTGGAGAAAAATTCATTCTACCAATATAAAAGCAAGTGTATAACAAAAATTCCTAATAATTTAGAAGATGCAAACAGTTTGATCAGAGGCACTATTGAAATAATAGTGTAAATAGAAGACAAATACAGTAATACCTTGGTTTTAATTCGTTTCAGTTTTCGTCAAATTTTTTCGTGGAAAATTTGTCTTGGTTTTCGTCGACACATCTACGTGACCTCCTGCTAATTTTGCAAAAACATAGGGCGACCCATGCGTTTTCCTGCTCAGTGTGGCGTTGTTTCTCGTTGTGTGAGCATTACCAAACGCATCTAGCAAAACAATTCCATTGCTTTACTTTCCTTTTAGCTCCATCATGGAACCAAAGAAAGTTTCTAGAGCCACCAGCCCTTCAAATGCCTGTTAAATGCTTTGTTAACGTTCATTTAACCTTTACATTAGTATTTTATAGATCATAAATATTGTGTTTAATACTAAAAACAATAAGTAATTAATATAAAATGAATATAAAAGATGTTTTTGGTAAGTATTTTGAAGTGTAGAATGAATTAATTGAATTTACATTGATTCATATGAAAATAATTGCCTCAGTTTTCATCGGTTTAGGATTTTGTCGATTGTTTTCAGACAGATTACCGACAAAAACCGAGGTATCACCGTAGATACTTGTGGTCCAATTGTAACACCCATCTTATGACAACTTCAATGACCCAAATTTATGAATTATTATTTTGACATAGTGGTTGAAAGAAAATTGGTGGCCAGAAGATGAGGGAAATGAAGCTTCTTAGTTATTTAATAAGAAAATTTGTATAAAAAAAATACTTTTAAATAAGCAATTTAATTTTTGTTACTAAAAACTTACTTTGTTATTATCCATAATAGTAAGTGACTTAACTCCTGCTAAAACCAAATTCTTTGCAACTTCACCACCTAAACTATTTATTCCAATCAATAAAATGTTGGAAGAACGTAATCTGAAATGTTTTAATATTACATTAAAATTTAAGTATTGACTTGTATTTATTATGGGGATACTATAGATTACCACTTATGGAATTTCGGGACTTTGAGTATATATCTGAACTGAGGGGACTGAGACAAGTCCAACGATACCCTACTTTTGGAAACATAAGAAAGTAATCATACTTTTTTCCAGCGATCACGCGATGATTGGGAGTCGCGTCGCTCTCTCCACTCTCCTATCGCGTGTTTAACAGGCAGTCCAGCAAGTCGGCCATATACACCTTCGACAGAGACAGATGTTGATCCACAAGCATATTGATCATATGCAGTTGGAGTTAAGTCCTTTTCGCACACCTCTGCGTTCCTCGACCTCGGGGCCTATGGCCCCTCAGCCGCCAAAATCGTAAATATTATAACTTTCTTATTTTTCATCTCCGGTCCAAAAGTAGAGTACGGTTGAACTCTTCTCGGCCCCCTCAGTTCAAATATATACTCAAAGTCCCAAAATTCCATATGTGGTAATCTATAGTACAGCCTTTATTATAACAATTTAGAACTCAAACAACTATGAATTCATAAAGACAAATGTTTTTAAACATTTGATAAACAGGCTTTTAAGAAATGAATTTAAACACATTGATGCTACAAAACACACTATTTAAAAAACTGCATTTTTTTATTGTAATATGTTTAAGTTTATTTCTTAAAAGAGTATTATAAGAGAATTCTACAATATTATAAAATGTAATAGGCATTAAATAAAACAGGAAATAAGGTGTTGATAATTCAATATAAATTTTATATTTGTTTATCATATAAAAAATGAAGCAGATATGTTTCCTTTACAGTTTCCATTAACTAAATTTAACTTAGTCACAGATTAGTAACAATTATTTAAATATCTTGAATATATTTTTTCACCTGAGACTCAATTTCTAATTCCTTCAACAATATACAGTAATTAAACAGAGCAAAGAGCACATTTAATTTTAAAATATTCTTTTTTAAATCTCAACTTGTTTAAAAACAAATGTATATATTTTTTGTAAATCAAGTCATTGTAATATATTACTTGTTTTGTTTTATAATTTATATAGTATATATTTTCAGACATATTTTAACTGTTCATAAACTAAAGAATAAAATAAAAAATAAAGCTTTACAACAATAGAAATAAGCAATGCATTGCTTTGTACAGTCATCATTACATATTAAATGCAACCAAAACCATTTAAAAGGTATCAGTTGCAAATACCTTTTCTGGGCATCTAATCCCCATAATCTTATTTGTCTGTCATATAATTCAGCTTCGTCTTCCGTAATTTCAAATTCGCCGATATCCGCCATATTTACTTAACCTCGCGGGAAAACCCTCGCGCCAGTCATGCTTTTTCTTCCTCGGCTCGTCATTGGTTTTCGAGTCTCGACGTAAATGACGACGTCGCAGGCGCGCTCTACGATTTGTAGCCGTTCGATGACGTTTGTACCGTAATATGGCGGCCACCACGATGGAGACGAAGGATTACTCCGTTATGGCAGCGGATTTGGAGAAACGTGAATTGGAATCGCCTGGAGGAATCGCTACACCTCAGACTTATGGGCAGTTACTCGCAATATATCTTTTTCAGAACGATTTGCCTAATGCTAAATTACTTTGGAAGAGAATACCTCAAGGTGTGAAAGAAGCAAACCCAGAATTGGGACAAATTTGGATTGTTGGACAGAAATTATGGAATAGAGACTTTCCAGAATTATATAAAAGTTTAGATGTCGAATGGCCGGATCATATTCTACCGATTATGAAGGCTTTAATGGAATCCACACGCACTAGAGCACTTCATTTAGCCGCTAAAGCTTACTCTTCGATAAGTATCGAAGATGCTTCCTTATTTTTAGGTTTGCCTCCCGATAAAACCATCGAAGAAGCGGTGGCTTTTGGATGGACAAACGATAGAAATCAGCATTTGATAATGCCGAAGAAACCGGACATTCCCACCGACGGAGTTGCACCCAGCGAGGAACAGTTGGCAAAACTCACAGATTTTGTTGTGTTTCTAGAAAATTAGTAAATTCAGCCCGTTCAATGTACGAGTTTTATTTCGTAAACATAAAGTTTATTGGTCACCGTTTAACTAATGTAATGCTATGTATCGAACGGCATTATGCCGTTTTTTCTCGTCTTCGAAAGCAAATTTTACAATTAATTTTATAAAATAAATTTAAAAGAATCAGAATTTTGCATTTGTATGGTTTGTTATATAGTAATGTAATATACTTATGATAATAATAAAATATGATTAAAATACTATAGCTAAGAGTTTGAAGTAAAAATCCTTTAATGTGACAAACATCACTTAAATTTTGTAGTTAATATTTATTGTAAAAGAGCGAGTCAAAACAAATTAAGACTGAATTTTTCCCGTTGAAAATATAGAAGTAACAAATTCTAGATTTTTATGACTAAAGATTGGTTATCAATGCATCTTTCCAAAAAATTACATAGGAGTATGATGCTCTGTTTGCAGCCAGAATGCTCCTAGAAAAGGTCATCTGTTGCTTCCTACGATAAAATGAAAATATATACCTGTATATTTCTAATGTAGTGACAGTTTTGGCCGAGAAAAATATCTTGTTAATTTCAGATTTGGCACTACGACGAGCCAAGTTATGGAACTTTTCCCCACGCATAACCGTAGTGGTTAAAGTATTAGAGATTATTCCAAAGAAAGTCTCGAAGCACGGGCTAGTATGCATCATNACATACATACATACAAACAAACATTACCTCTTAATAATGTTAGTATAGATGAAACACTAAAGAAGTTTTAGAAGGGTCTAAAAATATGTTCGATTTCCCACATAAATGCAAAAAAGCATCTAAAATAGTATAATAGAAGCCGAGTTCTTCATGGCACATTTTAATCCTGTCCCTCTCTCCAGTGGGGAGATTTTGAAAAATCCCTTCTTAGTGTATGTTCTCATGACGTACCCTAACTGCATACCAAATTTAAACTTTCAACTCCTAACTGTTTGGGCTCTGCGATTATTATTATCATTATCAACCCATCTCGATTATATTATAAGATTCGTTGATGTTAATGAATTTTCTATTAGGATTATTTGATATACTTACATTTTTCCCAATATCTTTACTGGAAAATAAAAATTGTAATTTGGTATCCAATTCTGAAACCTGTAAAGTAAATAATAAAACAAGTTTTTTAATAAACGTTATATATTATTTATGTATACTGTATTTTAAATAGGTATTGTAAAATAAATGCAAAAGAAGTGGAAAAAAATGCTATAAATTAATTTTTGTCTAATTTACAGGTTAAATAATGTTTATATTTGATTAATAAGCTTTTCATTCAACTAAGCATCAATATACAAAATTATGGAACACCACCAACTATGACTGCTAACTGGGTGCCAGACATCTGGGTGACAAAATAAGAGATAAACAATAGACAAAATACTATTCTTTTTTTACAACCCAGTAAATTTAAATAATATTTTTTAAGAAACAAGTTAATTATTTGTGAATTTTTTGTCTCTTTAATCCTTTTGGTAGACTATCTCACAGCAAAGGTTAATAAATTCTTTTATTAGTTTTCACATATGCATTTCGAACCGGTATAACATTTCCGGTTCCTCTTCAGTGTTCTACAATTATAAAAATTAAATTGATATAATTTAAAAAACTAACAAAGTAATTTGCCAAGTAACATAACATAAACACATCACAAATACCTCTAAGGGTTTTACACATTTCCTTTTTCATACAGTTGGATCGTTACTTACTAAAACAACAGTACAAGGAGTAAAAAGTAATATGATGAAATTATCGCTATAAAAACAAAATAAATAAAAACTAAGTGGTAAATATTTCAAAAAAGGAAAAGGGTATTTTTATAAAATATGCACACTGACCTTTTTTTGGTTTAATATGCTTTGAAAAACACTCAATATTTTTAGATTTGGGTTCGCAATAATTAAACATTTCTATAAATAACAATTTACAATGACAATATGAATAAACATCGTAACAAGCAAGTTGTACAAAGATTTTATAAAAGTATACATACAGGTTTCTTTCTTTCTAATATTGTAAATGCACAAATGTCAACTTACACTAGGTAACTTACACAAAGTAACCTTTACAATCATTCTTTTAGTGTTAAGTATCACAAAAAAATTTTTTATTGGTCTATTGCCACGCCCTCTATGATGTCGTACCACTGTTGTTCTATTTGCATGCCATTAGAGATATTTATTAAATTATTGTTTTTATTTTTTATTATTTCAATATGTTCTTTGAATTTTCTTTTATATATATTTTTTTCTGTGTGTAAGATTTTAATATTATTTCTATCAATTTTACATTTACTATTTTTAATATGGTTATACCAGGGAGAGTTGTTATAATTTAATCTAATGGCAGCTTCGTGTTCTTTAATACGTGTCTCTAATGTACGACCAGTTTCACCTATATAATATTTCGGGTTTTGGCAATTACAATTGATTTTATATACAACACCAGTTTTCTTCAATACATCATTATTAAATTTGTCTGTTTTTGATCTATTAATATGAACATTCTGTGAGATTTTGTTGGTCAAAGCTGGGGCCAATGCCACATTCTCTTTTTTAAGATTTTTATTACAATTATTAAAAATATTATCAATGTATGGGAAGGGTTTATATGTTTTGTCTTTTTTAATTTTTGTATTAAACCTATTTTTATCATATTGTGTTTTCCATATCATCAAAGTTTTCTTGGGATAACTATTTAAAATGAATTTCTGTTCTAATTCTTTTAATTCAATTTTTCGGTCATTTTCGTTGGTGGTTCTTGTATATATATTTTTTAATTCCATTATATATGTATTCTTTTTTACTGTCTGTGGAATGCTAGAGTGATAGTTTATTGTTTTATTTACATTGGATGGTTTTTTATAAGTATTAAACGTAAATTTATCTGTTTCATTATTTATTGTTATATCAANATTCTCTGTTTATACATCTAGATTAACTGCTAAACTCATTTTGCCATACTGTAAAACTTGGATTCAGTTAATGGTTTGAATTAAAGATTTATCATTAAGTCCTCTCACTTCTTCTGAAGTCTATCATTTTATATATTTATTTTTTCTTATTTTTGTAATTTTTATTGTATATGATCTGAGTTTGAACTTAAAAATTATTCAGAGTAATTTAACTTTGAAGAAATTCTTAAAAAACACTAAGATAGTAATATGACAATATCAACTTCATAACTTATTTTAATTTGTAAAAAAATAGTAAATTATTATTTAAAAGATTATAAATGAAGTAAAATGTTTAAACGTGATGTTCAATACATGAATAAATTTAAATTTAATTTAATCATTATATTTTTTATTTTTAATAAAATAAAATTTAAATCAGTTTGTAATATATCACCTGGCCACCAGATGTCGCCAGAATTTGTTTTAGTAGCTATTGCCACGTGTTGAAACCATCTGTTCAGGTAACAATATGTTACTCGAAAACGAATCGGTGAGGATTCCTTCATTATTTTATTTGGCTTTAATTCGTTCAATATGAATAATTGTTTACATTTTACTCTAGTTTTTAAGTGAACTGACTAAATTATTTCAATCTGGAAGAACTTCAGGATCAGTATGTATTACCATGAAAAGATGTAAGTGAATATAGATTTAATTACAAATTATTTTCTGAGTTACAATACTTAATTTTTTATTGCTTTATCGGTGAATATATCATTGTACTTTTATAAATGATAACAGGAAAATGTTTTCCTACTTCCTTTCTCTACTAGAGCCATGTTGAAATTTAGCAATATCTTTAAATAATATTTGCTTAGCTAAGTAAATAATCAAACTAATGCTTTATATCATCAACTGATGATATTAACAATAAAATATCAAATCATAAATCAATATTTTCAATTCAATTTTTTTAAAAATTAATCTAACAATGATGGAAACATTCTTAAAATTACAAACAGCATTTCCTACTACAATAAATTTATATTATAGAGAATAAATCTAAGAATGAATATGTATCTTTCTTTGTTTTTTTTGAAAAAGTATGCAGTATGCATCCTCAAATTTGTTTTTGTACTAATGAAGTTGTCCTTTAATTAATTTGTGACACTTATAATCATTGTATTTAATATACCATATGTAAAATTAATAAATTTATTTAATATATCTTGATTAGAAAGAATTTACATATAATTCTAGTAAAATTATGTGTTGTGATATAAATTTCGTTATTTTGATACGCAGATGACGGAAGAACAAAACCTCGTCCTCGTGCTTCCAAATTAACGCAACCTCTCCCACCTCCCAGTGAATTTAAATGTTTATTTAGAGCAACATTGGGAAATAAAAAAATCAGCACTGTGGTAAGAAGTATTTTAATATTGAATATAAAAGACTATAAAAATTAAATTAAAATGAAACAAATTTATATTAGTAATAGACTAACGATTAAAGAAGTATTACCTAACATATCTGACAATTCCTTAAATCTGAAATAAAATTAAGAGAAAAATTACACACAGTAAAATCCACAATATTCAGAACTTGTTTAATATGTATATAAATTGTGATTAAATTTCTTAAATGAATAAAGTTAAAGAGATGCTATAAAATGCTAAACTACACAATACATTATTTGCCATTTTTTCTCCTTTTAAACCTTTTTCTAATCTTAAATTAAAAGGATAGTTTTTTTGTCTTAAAAGATATACATTGATATTTTTCCACTGATATTCTTCAGGTGTAATTTTTAACATATGCATGTTTTTATTACTATATTCTTTGTGATGACTGCTTTTTATGTTGGTTGACTCTAAAGATTGGTTATAAGTACCAAAATTTTAAGGATCATGATGATGTAAACTCCAGAAAACCAGTTTTTTTTGGGATGAATAAATACTTGTCTATATATATATAATTTTTTTTATAAATACTTATAAAAAGATAGTCTTTTAAGTTAGTATATAGCTTCAACATATTTCATTCTTTAATACACTAATTTGACATCAAGTAGAACTATCTTTGAGAGCTTCATTTTTTACACCAATTCTAAAATAGAATATATGAACTGTGGATCTGATGTTGGCCTATAAATTCGGCCAAAAGCATTTGTTAGTACGGTGGTACCTCGGGATACGAATGCCCCAGCATACGAAATATTCAGGATACGACACGAAATTCGAACATATTTTTGCTCCACGATACAAACAAAAACTCACCATACGACATTACATTAGTTCGCAGCGCCATTTTTTATTCACTTCTGTTCATCGGTCTTGGTCCACATGTTTGCTTCGTCATGGAAGGATCTTGCTCCCGAAATCTCGAGGGGCTCCTGTCTCTCAACACCGAGCCATCCCATTGTGAACATGGCCAAACCAATAATGGGCTTGCTAAAAAAGAGGCCTTTTTAGTGCCCACAGGGTGGAAAGACTTTAAAAAAATAATTAATATTTAAGTAATTTATCATTAATTTAAACAATTACATATGTTTTAACTACCACAATAATTTTTAAAACTGATATACTATTGCATAAAAAATGAACATAATTTTACATATTCAACTTCTTATTTCAAGAAATTGAAGAACAGTTCCATATCACACAATCACATTTAACAGATGAATAAATAAAGATTAGAAAACAAACAAGGAATCTTTTGTCAAGGAAACATTTTTCTGGACTCCTTGTTTGTTTGTTAACATTTATTTTTTTATTCTTTACGTAATAATTTTACTAATAATTGAATTAAGATCTGATAATTTAATCAGATATTTTTTAAAATTTATATCAATCTTCTCATAATGTATATAAAATATATAAAACAATAAGGTAAGAATTTGTTCTAACTTCTGATTGGCAAATAAAGTAAAACTTTGTTTTTACAACAGAAGCAAAAATTATTTGGAGAAAAATTCATTCTACCAATATAAAAGCAAGTGTATAACAAAAATTCCTAATAATTTAGAAGATGCAAACAGTTTGATCAGAGGCACTATTGAAATAATAGTGTAAATAGAAGACAAATACAGTAATACCTTGGTTTTAATTCGTTTCAGTTTTCGTCAAATTTTTTCGTGGAAAATTTGTCTTGGTTTTCGTCGACACATCTACGTGACCTCCTGCTAATTTTGCAAAAACATAGGGCGACCCACGCGTTTTCCTGCTCAGTGTGGCGTTGTTTCTCGTTGTGTGAGCATTACCAAACGCATCTAGCAAAACAATTCCATTGCTTTACTTTCCTTTTAGCTCCATCATGGAACCAAAGAAAGTTTCTAGAGCCACCAGCCCTTCAAATGCCTGTTAAATGCTTTGTTAACGTTCATTTAACCTTTACATTAGTATTTTATAGATCATAAATATTGTGTTTAATACTAAAAACAATAAGTAATTAATATAAAATGAATATAAAAGATGTTTTTGGTAAGTATTTTGAAGTGTAGAATGAATTAATTGAATTTACATTGATTCATATGAAAATAATTGCCTCAGTTTTCATCGGTTTAGGATTTTGTCGATTGTTTTCAGACAGATTACCGACAAAAACCGAGGTATCACCGTAGATACTTGTGGTCCAATTGTAACACCCATCTTATGACAACTTCAATGACCCAAATTTATGAATTATTATTTTGACATAGTGGTTGAAAGAAAATTGGTGGCCAGAAGATGAGGGAAATGAAGCTTCTTAGTTATTTAATAAGAAAATTTGTATAAAAAAAATACTTTTAAATAAGCAATTTAATTTTTGTTACTAAAAACTTACTTTGTTATTATCCATAATAGTAAGTGACTTAACTCCTGCTAAAACCAAATTCTTTGCAACTTCACCACCTAAACTATTTATTCCAATCAATAAAATGTTGGAAGAACGTAATCTGAAATGTTTTAATATTACATTAAAATTTAAGTATTGACTTGTATTTATTATGGGGATACTATAGATTACCACTTATGGAATTTCGGGACTTTGAGTATATATCTGAACTGAGGGGACTGAGACAAGTCCAACGATACCCTACTTTTGGAAACATAAGAAAGTAATCATACTTTTTTCCAGCGATCACGCGATGATTGGGAGTCGCGTCGCTCTCTCCACTCTCCTATCGCGTGTTTAACAGGCAGTCCAGCAAGTCGGCCATATACACCTTCGACAGAGACAGATGTTGATCCACAAGCATATTGATCATATGCAGTTGGAGTTAAGTCCTTTTCGCACACCTCTGCGTTCCTCGACCTCGGGGCCTATGGCCCCTCAGCCGCCAAAATCGTAAATATTATAACTTTCTTATTTTTCATCTCCGGTCCAAAAGTAGAGTACGGTTGAACTCGTCTCGGCCCCCTCAGTTCAAATATATACTCAAAGTCCCAAAATTCCATATGTGGTAATCTATAGTACAGCCTTTATTATAACAATTTAGAACTCAAACAACTATGAATTCATAAAGACAAATGTTTTTAAACATTTGATAAACAGGCTTTTAAGAAATGAATTTAAACACATTGATGCTACAAAACACACTATTTAAAAAACTGCATTTTTTTATTGTAATATGTTTAAGTTTATTTCTTAAAAGAGTATTATAAGAGAATTCTACAATATTATAAAATGTAATAGGCATTAAATAAAACAGGAAATAAGGTGTTGATAATTCAATATAAATTTTATATTTGTTTATCATATAAAAAATGAAGCAGATATGTTTCCTTTACAGTTTCCATTAACTAAATTTAACTTAGTCACAGATTAGTAACAATTATTTAAATATCTTGAATATATTTTTTCACCTGAGACTCAATTTCTAATTCCTTCAACAATATACAGTAATTAAACAGAGCAAAGAGCACATTTAATTTTAAAATATTCTTTTTTAAATCTCAACTTGTTTAAAAACAAATGTATATATTTTTTGTAAATCAAGTCATTGTAATATATTACTTGTTTTGTTTTATAATTTATATAGTATATATTTTCAGACATATTTTAACTGTTCATAAACTAAAGAATAAAATAAAAAATAAAGCTTTACAACAATAGAAATAAGCAATGCATTGCTTTGTACAGTCATCATTACATATTAAATGCAACCAAAACCATTTAAAAGGTATCAGTTGCAAATACCTTTTCTGGGCATCTAATCCCCATAATCTTATTTGTCTGTCATATAATTCAGCTTCGTCTTCCGTAATTTCAAATTCGCCGATATCCGCCATATTTACTTAACCTCGCGGGAAAACCCTCGCGCCAGTCATGCTTTTTCTTCCTCGGCTCGTCATTGGTTTTCGAGTCTCGACGTAAATGACGACGTCGCAGGCGCGCTCTACGATTTGTAGCCGTTCGATGACGTTTGTACCGTAATATGGCGGCCACCACGATGGAGACGAAGGATTACTCCGTTATGGCAGCGGATTTGGAGAAACGTGAATTGGAATCGCCTGGAGGAATCGCTACACCTCAGACTTATGGGCAGTTACTCGCAATATATCTTTTTCAGAACGATTTGCCTAATGCTAAATTACTTTGGAAGAGAATACCTCAAGGTGTGAAAGAAGCAAACCCAGAATTGGGACAAATTTGGATTGTTGGACAGAAATTATGGAATAGAGACTTTCCAGAATTATATAAAAGTTTAGATGTCGAATGGCCGGATCATATTCTACCGATTATGAAGGCTTTAATGGAATCCACACGCACTAGAGCACTTCATTTAGCCGCTAAAGCTTACTCTTCGATAAGTATCGAAGATGCTTCCTTATTTTTAGGTTTGCCTCCCGATAAAACCATCGAAGAAGCGGTGGCTTTTGGATGGACAAACGATAGAAATCAGCATTTGATAATGCCGAAGAAACCGGACATTCCCACCGACGGAGTTGCACCCAGCGAGGAACAGTTGGCAAAACTCACAGATTTTGTTGTGTTTCTAGAAAATTAGTAAATTCAGCCCGTTCAATGTACGAGTTTTATTTCGTAAACATAAAGTTTATTGGTCACCGTTTAACTAATGTAATGCTATGTATCGAACGGCATTATGCCGTTTTTTCTCGTCTTCGAAAGCAAATTTTACAATTAATTTTATAAAATAAATTTAAAAGAATCAGAATTTTGCATTTGTATGGTTTGTTATATAGTAATGTAATATACTTATGATAATAATAAAATATGATTAAAATACTATAGCTAAGAGTTTGAAGTAAAAATCCTTTAATGTGACAAACATCACTTAAATTTTGTAGTTAATATTTATTGTAAAAGAGCGAGTCAAAACAAATTAAGACTGAATTTTTCCCGTTGAAAATATAGAAGTAACAAATTCTAGATTTTTATGACTAAAGATTGGTTATCAATGCATCTTTCCAAAAAATTACATAGGAGTATGATGCTCTGTTTGCAGCCAGAATGCTCCTAGAAAAGGTCATCTGTTGCTTCCTATGATAAAATGAAAATATATACCTGTATATTTCTAATGTAGTGACAGTTTTGGCCGAGAAAAATATCTTGTTAATTTCAGATTTGGCACTACGACGAGCCAAGTTATGGAACTTTTCCCCACGCATAACCGTAGTGGTTAAAGTATTAGAGATTATTCCAAAGAAAGTCTCGAAGCACGGGCTAGTATGCATCATTGAGGACTAGCAGAAGTACTGTACATTAAATTTGTGACTAATACTTTCAGAAAGACCACAGACACTATACCTCAAAATGATTATCACAGGAGAAAAAATCAGTCTACCTGTTTTGACTTATGCTTGCAGCCATATACTTTCACAGATTGAATGTGTAAGTAAAAGGAGAAAAATTTAAATTCTAGACAGAATGGATTAACACAAAAAATTTCTTAAAATTTTCATAAAATTTTTGTATTATTTTTTTTTACTTCTAAAAGTAAAAAAAAATTATACAAAAATTTTGTTGAGACATTGACCATTCTAAATTGATTTATAATTCATATATTTTTTGCTGTTTCTTATGTTTTATATACAATTTTTAACTCTGTATACATCCATATTCTCTGTTTATACATCTAGATTAACTGCTAAACTCATTTTGCCATACTGTAAAACTTGGATTCAGTTAATGGTTTGAATTAAAGATTTATCATTAAGTCCTCTCACTTCTTCTGAAGTCTATCATTTTATATATTTATTTTTTCTTATTTTTGTAATTTTTATTGTATATGATCTGAGTTTGAACTTAAAAATTATTCAGAGTAATTTAACTTTGAAGAAATTCTTAAAAAACACTAAGATAGTAATATGACAATATCAACTTCATAACTTATTTTAATTTGTAAAAAAATAGTAAATTATTATTTAAAAGATTATAAATGAAGTAAAATGTTTAAACGTGATGTTCAATACATGAATAAATTTAAATTTAATTTAATCATTATATTTTTTATTTTTAATAAAATAAAATTTAAATCAGTTTGTAATATATCACCTGGCCACCAGATGTCGCCAGAATTTGTTTTAGTAGCTATTGCCACGTGTTGAAACCATCTGTTCAGGTAACAATATGTTACTCGAAAACGAATCGGTGAGGATTCCTTCATTATTTTATTTGGCTTTAATTCGTTCAATATGAATAATTGTTTACATTTTACTCTAGTTTTTAAGTGAACTGACTAAATTATTTCAATCTGGAAGAACTTCAGGATCAGTATGTATTACCATGAAAAGATGTAAGTGAATATAGATTTAATTACAAATTATTTTCTGAGTTACAATACTTAATTTTTTATTGCTTTATCGGTGAATATATCATTGTACTTTTATAAATGATAACAGGAAAATGTTTTCCTACTTCCTTTCTCTACTAGAGCCATGTTGAAATTTAGCAATATCTTTAAATAATATTTGCTTAGCTAAGTAAATAATCAAACTAATGCTTTATATCATCAACTGATGATATTAACAATAAAATATCAAATCATAAATCAATATTTTCAATTCAATTTTTTTAAAAATTAATCTAACAATGATGGAAACATTCTTAAAATTACAAACAGCATTTCCTACTACAATAAATTTATATTATAGAGAATAAATCTAAGAATGAATATGTATCTTTCTTTGTTTTTTTTGAAAAAGTATGCAGTATGCATCCTCAAATTTGTTTTTGTACTAATGAAGTTGTCCTTTAATTAATTTGTGACACTTATAATCATTGTATTTAATATACCATATGTAAAATTAATAAATTTATTTAATATATCTTGATTAGAAAGAATTTACATATAATTCTAGTAAAATTATGTGTTGTGATATAAATTTCGTTATTTTGATACGCAGATGACGGAAGAACAAAACCTCGTCCTCGTGCTTCCAAATTAACGCAACCTCTCCCACCTCCCAGTGAATTTAAATGTTTATTTAGAGCAACATTGGGAAATAAAAAAATCAGCACTGTGGTAAGAAGTATTTTAATATTGAATATAAAAGACTATAAAAATTAAATTAAAATGAAACAAATTTATATTAGTAATAGACTAACGATTAAAGAAGTATTACCTAACATATCTGACAATTCCTTAAATCTGAAATAAAATTAAGAGAAAAATTACACACAGTAAAATCCACAATATTCAGAACTTGTTTAATATGTATATAAATTGTGATTAAATTTCTTAAATGAATAAAGTTAAAGAGATGCTATAAAATGCTAAACTACACAATACATTATTTGCCATTTTTTCTCCTTTTAAACCTTTTTCTAATCTTAAATTAAAAGGATAGTTTTTTTGTCTTAAAAGATATACATTGATATTTTTCCACTGATATTCTTCAGGTGTAATTTTTAACATATGCATGTTTTTATTACTATATTCTTTGTGATGACTGCTTTTTATGTTGGTTGACTCTAAAGATTGGTTATAAGTACCAAAATTTTAAGGATCATGATGATGTAAACTCCAGAAAACCAGTTTTTTTTGGGATGAATAAATACTTGTCTATATATATATAATTTTTTTTATAAATACTTATAAAAAGATAGTCTTTTAAGTTAGTATATAGCTTCAACATATTTCATTCTTTAATACACTAATTTGACATCAAGTAGAACTATCTTTGAGAGCTTCATTTTTTACACCAATTCTAAAATAGAATATATGAACTGTGGATCTGATGTTGGCCTATAAATTCGGCCAAAAGCATTTGTTAGTACGGTGGTACCTCGGGATACGAATGCCCCAGCATACGAAATATTCAGGATACGACACGAAATTCGAACATATTTTTGCTCCACGATACAAACAAAAACTCACCATACGACATTACATTAGTTCGCAGCGCCATTTTTTATTCACTTCTGTTCATCGGTCTTGGTCCACATGTTTGCTTCGTCATGGAAGGATCTTGCTCCCGAAATCTCGAGGTTTTATCGGAAAGTGACTGATTTTATTGTAAAGAAACATCCCGAAAAGGTTCACACTGGCTGTATTTCCGCTCAGAGTAATGACATTTGCCTAAGTCATTTTAGAAACATTTTAAAAAGTAGGCAAAGCTAAACTTCTTTGGATAGATATTTTACCAAGCGACCTCTATCCAGTGAAAGTGTTGGTGGAAATGAAGGAAAGAAAGCAAAAAGCAGTAAATAAAAAATTTTAAAAAAATATATAAAACAGAAAAGATAAAAAAATTAGTGTTAAGTTATTGTTACCTATGTTATGTAAGTTAAATTTTTGTATCATTTACTATCTCTCTCTCCTCTGCCACCAGTTTACACCTCCACCGTCATCTATCCTCAAAGGTAAAGTGCAAGTAAAACTACATTTTTTTATCAATTATTATTCTATTATGGTTATTTATACATTTACAACTACAAAACACATTTTTCAGTGTTTTCCTTACTATAGTTATTTTTTTAATTTACTTCTTACTTGTTAGCTTTAATTTGGGTGTGTTTTTTGTGTTGGAATGAATTATTTGGTCTTACATGTAATTGTATGGGGAAAAATGATTCACCTTATGACATTTTCATGATACAATCTCAGTTTCGGAACTGATTAATTTTGTATCCTGAGGTACCACTGTATATTAAAATTTATGCTGGATTAATGAAAATTAAGGTTGTCTTTACGATCTGATCTATTTCCAGTTTTGAGAAGTTTCTTACTTTAACACCTTAGTTTTCATGATGGTAACTTATTTTAAAAATTCGTTTTGAAGAAAATTTGATGTATTTTATAATTAATTTTATGTAAATTTTATTTGAACATTCATTTGAAATATAAAGTAACTGCATGTAAAAGAAATAAGTAACTGCATTTAGTTTATTTATTACAATGTTTAATTATGTTAATAATAATTCAAATATTGAATTATTTTAAAAATTATTGTAATTTAACAATTTTACAGGTAAATGCAAGAGACATCAATAAATTCCAAATGGTTAGTGATTTTTATTTTTGAATGAGTTTTTATAACTTTAAAGTATTAAAAAAATTATAATTTTTTACTCTTATTATTTTGTACAAGTAAAATTTATTTAATATTTCTTTTAATATTTTAAAAATATACAATATATACTTATGCAAGGTATGTATTGACTTTGAAAAAAAATTACTGGAAATTACCCATCTCTAGCAAAGAAAGTATTTGTGCATATACATTGTGGACAATTAATAGCTTAGTAGTGTACTACTGGACTACAGAATGAATGGTCTAGGTTCTAATATCAATGACTGCTTTATAACAATTGTGGTATGTGTAGGTCTGAGGTCCACCTAGCCTTTTTTCTAATGGTATCTGCAGGATAATTGCCAGGGACAACTTAGCATCAGCATGGGACTGACTATCCTATCACCTCTCTTACTAGACTGTGACTAGAGATGACCATATACCCTCTCCCAATACATTTTCATAGTAGTCTTTAAGAGGATCTCTGTTACATACATTGTAATATATATATTAGATGATTATTTTCAACAGATATATGGGGAAGGAAAGAAAAAATCAATTAGTATAGTAACAATATCAAACAAACAGCTTCTTCTTCTTTTGTCCTTAGCTGGCATTTGGTTGCGGGCGTCCGCACAACCAGTATGCTGCTGTGGGTGCCGCAAGAAGTCGAGCTTTTTCCACAATGCCCTTCAATGCCCTTGATCCATGGCCGCCGCTTTCGTCTGCCTCAGATCTAGCCGTTGGTTTCTGAGGTCCTTCTCAACCTGTTTGGTCCACATTTTCTTAGGTGCAGAGTGTTGGATTTTCCACAGAGTAGGTCACTGTCAGAAGAGCAGTTGGTGGGGAATTCAGTTAATATCCATTTGGCACATGGCCAAACCATCTCAGCCATCACTGTTAAATTTGCATCTCAACAGATGGCTGTTGTTGGCATCTGGCCTGGATGGCGTTGTTGGTGATGTGATCCCGAAGGGAGATACCAAGAATCTGTCTCAAGCATTTCAATTGAAAGGTCTCAAGTTTGTCCAAGTCTGTCTTAAGCAGGGTCCAAGTTTCTGACCCACAGAGAAGGATTGGTATGACTAGTGTACAGAACAGGCAGATCTTGGTCATCAAAGAGATGTTATTCTTTCTCCATACACACCATTTGAGTGAGGCATATGCATGGGCTGCTTGTCTAATACGGGCATGAGTTTCTTTCGACGATGCCACTTTCTTCTCCTGGATCAGTGATCCAAGGTATTTAAACTCTTGTACCTGCTCTATCTGGACTCCATTAAATTAAGGTAAACAATTGCCCGCGATCCATCTGTTGTAAGCACTTTGGTTTTGTCCACATTTATTTTAAGACCATATGACTGAGCGATAGTGGTGATATCATAAAGCGTGTCTGTGGCCACTACATCGTTGTCAGCGAAAATGAACAGCTAGATACAAAAAAGGTAAATCACTTCATAAATGATGTTTATTATAGGAGTTCTTTATATTTGCCCTTCATTGATTTATCATTCACATATGCAAACATTAGTTATCTGTCTCTATGATTATTTGATCTTACACTACACTTGAGAACAAAAATTTGTCATTATAATTTATACACATTGATGTAACCATATGTTAAATGTCAGTTTAAATCAGTTCTATATATATAAACAATAGTTACAGATTATAACAAAATAAAGGATAGCTTACAAAATATTAATTATAAGCAATTCACTTATAAATAAAATGTTCAAACAGCTTTGATTCTTGTTTCCTATTGTTAATTGTCTGATTCTTGTTTTCCTAAATAACAATATAGTATAATTTGTTTTTTGAAACCGTGTCCTGTTTTATAATTCTGGCATAGTAAACACTAGTATTGTGTTTTATTCCAAAGACACGTGGCAAGTTTCCATCAAATTCCTTTATTAGTTGAGTCGATACGGTACATTGTTTTGTACTCGTTTCAGGCATGCACAAAGCAATAAAATTTAAAATAGAGACTGAAGATATAATAAGACAAACCATTAACTACCTAGATATTACAATAACAAGATTAAAACATCATCTCGAATATAGAACATTCAAGAAACCGAGCTCTAACCAAGTAACAATAAGATATCAATCAAAAATTCTGTCATATGTTAAATATAATATATATAAAATGGAATATGAAAAAATCATAAACCGGACAAGCCAAGAAGCACATATAAACGAAGACCTAATAGAATTAAGGAAGAAGTTTCTTCTAGCAGGATTTCCGCAGAGAATGCTGAAACAATGGGAAATCAGACTTAATTACCCAAGAAACCTATGTAAAAATAAAAATAAGCAAGCAACTAAAACAAAATATATTAAGTTCCCATATATTAAAGGCCTATATGAACAAATCAGCACAGAAATAGGAAGAATAAACTACAAATTAGCACCATCATATAAAAAAATGGAGAACAGACCGTTAACCTCGAACCAGAAGAAAAACCAGCAAATACTGACCGAAGCCCAAGGTGTAGTATATAAAATTCCATGTACCTGCGCAAACAAAAAACATTACATAGGAGAAACAAGAAGAAAAGTAAAAACTAGATTGAAAGAACACATAGCGGACCTAAAATACAATAGAATAAATTCTGCATTTTACGAACACTGTACTCTAAACAACTGTAATATAGACTTTGATAACGTAGAAATACTGCATAAAGAAAAATTAATGTACAACAGGAAGTTTAAAGAAACCATAGAAATTATAAAAAGTAAAAACAATATAAATAAAAACCTAAGTCTTAAAATAAACGAAAACTGGCTCAATATACTATAAATAAAAATTTTTCTGCGAAAAACAATCTTTTCAAAAAATAATTTCTGCAAGACCACAAGGTGGTGAACGTCATATGTGGCAACACTAAAGATACCATCGCAAATGCCAAAAGAGGAAGGGGGAAAGGGGGCGGAAACAACTCAAGAAATTTTTAACCGTTGTATTGTGTCAAAGTCTATCCAAAAGAGAAGGTTTATGGAAGTTTTTAAATTGTAATTTATCCATAAAAGGATTAAAGCAGATTTTAGAAGATTTTAAATTATACAAAGTATAACCAAAGGTACAGTAGGTCTATATATCGTTTGTGTACTCATTGTTTTTTATGTAAGTTCTCTACTGTAATAATATTTATTGTACTGTAGTTGACTGAAGAGGGGCAAAGCCCGAAATGAGTACAAAACAATGTACCGTATCGACTCAACTAATAAAGGAATTTGATGGAAAACTTGCCACATGTCTTTGGAATAAAACAATACTAGTGTTTACTATGCCAGAATATAGTATAAGTAAACTTATACTATACTATATTGTTATTTAGCACTTTAATAAAATTTCATGTGCCAAGTTTGACATTATTATTATACTAATTAATCTCCTTTGTCAAAATCTGTCATGTTGATGGAAAAATTTACAGTCATTCTTATTTAGATGGCCGGGTGACCAAGTGGAAACCTACCACTCTGAAGAACCTGGGACCAAATTGGGACAGATTAAAAATCACAGAAGTTTTTGGAAAATGGTCCATCCAGTTATGTCAGGTTCTCTATACATACCCCATCACTTGGCTACTCCATTGTGGGTCTAACCTAACTCAAAATGGGCTTTGCTAAAACAGGTCTTTAGTGCCCAGAGTGAAAAGAGTTAAAAATATCATCCTTACCATTAGCCTTTCCCAGACTTTCTTGGCTAGCGATGGATAGTTTGCAGTAATTTTTCTTGAGGCCAATACATACTTTGCATCATATGAACAGCAATTTTTGATAGATTAACATTTTATTGAGTCAATCCTTATTATATAAGATATTTCATTTAAATAATAACAAAAGTTTTAAAAATATTGAATAATTTGTTATTATTAGAAATTTATTTGTGGGTTTTTCTTTTTTCTTTTCTTTTTGCTGTTTTATATTCCAGTTTTTAAGTTTTCTACAGACATTTTTGCCATGAGCTGGTCATGGACCATTCTTCTGGAAACATTATTTTATATTTACATATGATTAATAAATATCACAATAAACATGTGTAATTTTTGATTTAAAGGACAGCATTTGATTTTAATTGAATTTTTGTTATAGGCATATAGTAATGTCTTGAAAGGAAATATGGACAATTTGAAGAAAAAAGGGAAAAAGTCTGGAATTAAAGCAACTTGTTGATTGGATTCCTTAAAAAAGCAAAAATATTAATTATTATTATTATTATTTGTTTTAATTAAAAACAAAATACAGTATCACAGCAAATTTACAGAGATAATTCAAGTATTATATGCATTTAAGTAATATACATTTGTTATTCAATTATGTATATATAGTTTTATTAAGAGGCACAATAAGCTGCAGTAAAATTTGATCAGTTTTCATTTTATTAATTTACAGAGTAATGAAAAATGAATTAATAATGACATTTGTTTAATTGAAATAAAAAGAACAAAACTGTAATGTAACTAGTGACAAAAGTGGACACTACAACTAGGAAAATCATCAATAATTGCATTATACGTACTGATCAAATTTTACTGTGGCATATTGTATGTGGAAAAAGATTTATTTTTCCACTTTTACAAAATTCTGTCATTATAAGAAATGTATTAATGACATTTCTATTAATATGAAGCAAGTAATAAATTTGCTTCATATTAATTTTATTGTTAATTTAAATGAGAAAAAATTCATCATACATCGTATTAAACATTAAAAAAGTAATTTTAAATATATAAAAATGAAAATAAATATTTAATAATTTGATAAGGAAAAACAAAGAAGTATGAAATCTAAGCTTGACAGCCCAAACTTATTAACATTTTATAATTTTAGGTAAAAAAGTAATTTAGTTTTAAGAAACATGATTTTTTTTCATTTAATTTTCTCTTTTATTCTCTAAACACACACATTTTCAAATATTAAAATATCTCTTTTAATCAACTCAGAGCTGCAGAAATAGATTTTGTGTGTGCATTGCACAAACTTTCCAAAATGTCAAAATTCATAATGAAAATTTTCATACTTTTTAAGTCATCACTTTAAAGTTTATTATTTTTCTAATTATTTAATGTTTTTTTAATCAATAATCAAACTGATAAAAGTATTATGTAAATTAGGCAAATTACAGAGACAAAATCTAGACCATCCTCATGTTACTCAATCAACATGAGGCTGATCCAGTGAAATGAACCAGTGTGATTGACCAATAGGGAACAATGTTATAATCTTTACTACTAGTGATTGGATCATATCTTGGAATTTGAATTTCAATTCAGATTCCAAGATATGAAGGTCATTCTTAAAGTAAAGAACGTTTGTTTCTCTTGATATTTTTATTTAAGATAATGAAAAAAAAAACTTATTTTACAACACATAAGATACCTTAGCTATTTTTCTACGTAGTCGCCATACAAATTTAAACATTTATAGTAGCGTATCACCAACTTTTCTATGCCTTCTGCACACTCAGTTACTGCCAAGTTCTTGAACCAGTCATTAACGGCCTCTTTCGGTTCGTTGTCAATTCCATAGTGATTCCCAGCCAAAAAATCCTTTAATTTTGGGAAAAGATGGTAATCACTCGGAGCCAAGCCTGGGCTATAAGGAGGACGTTTAAAAAATTCCCACTTAAACTGCTGAAGCAAGTTCTTCGTCAACGCAGCAGCATGCGGGCGTGCATTATGCCGAAGAAGCACGATGCCTCTGGACGACAATCCCCGCCGTATGTTTCAAACTGAAGTTTTGTTCATCACATTACCATAAACCTTGGTTATCTGTCTGTAAATTTCAACAGGGCAGACTTTTTTTGCATTCAAAAGCGTATTACACTACGAACCTCACTTGGCAGGATCTTTAATTTTGTCACACATTTCAAAGTCACACTATAAACAGTAAACGATCATTGTGATTTGCTGTTAGTATCAGACTGGCGCAAAAAATGGCAGGGGGTGGTGGGAGAACTGCACGGCTCGACATACCAGAACATTCTTTTCTTTTAGAATGACTCTCGAGTAGGTTGATATCCTACTGCATGGCCTTGTAGCCAAATGTAATGTGCAATTTTTGACACAAATTTAATTCTAAATGAACATCAACAAAATGCCAAAAAATATTTGTGCAGCCAAACCAGTCTTAAATCTAAACCTTGTTCCTGTAAAATTTGTCCTGGGGCTTCATCAATTCCTGTGATTTAACTTTGATACTGTGATTTCATTTAACATTCCATTATATTATCAACATTTCTTTTTATACATTATTTAATACATTTTGAAATGAACACAGTAGAAACATTTATGCAACAGTTAATCTGATAGATGAAAAATAAAATATAGTACACACAGAAATGATTAATAATAAAAAGTGTTTCCATAAAACTTTATCATCCCTTTAACTAATTTTGGAATCTTTTTCACATTTAAATAGAATGATTTAAAGGAATTACAGTCTTGTTACAAAAAGCAAGATATGAAAAATGAATAAGAGCTTCTAAATATCAAATATTTTTATATAATATATACCAGTATGTGTAAAAATTCAGATATTTTTTATATTCATGCTATATTTAATTATTACAAAATTAGAAACTGACTGGGGATTTGCTGTATCATATATTTGATACATCAAATCAGATATGAATCATATGTATTAATTCTTACTTTTTTTAAGAAAGATGATGAAAATAATGACATTTTTAATATAATGACTATTGAATAAAAAGCCAAACTTGTATTTGCTACATTCAATGATGTATTTGGGTATCATCTTATGGAGGGCATCAGGAATACATTTGTGCATAAAATTACTTTTGTAGATGAATCTAATAAATAAACACTCTTTATATGTGTATAAATCTCACCTTTATTTTAAACATTAGAAAATCACATAATTAATCATTACATAAAGGAAACTCGTGATAAATACTTATTTTAAACGTTTAATTGAGTGATACCGGTACATACCCTTCTGAGTATACCCATGGTTACATTAATTTTGCTCTTGAATGTTAATGGAAAAATTCAAAAAGTTTGTTGTATAATATTCCAATAGAATTATATTTATTTAAGAAAATGTTAATAATTTCATCATATATGTAGTTATATAAATATTTTTTAACAAAATAATTACTTTAAAAATGATTATCTTTGTTATTATTATAAGTAGAAATATTCCTTCTTATTTGTAAAAGCTCACATTGGACAAGATTAAAAAAAGAATCTTCCGATTTTTATGTCAGCTTCTTATGAACAAAAAATGACATCAGATGTTAACAAAACAGAATATATACTTGATGAACAACTCACTCTATACAATTTGATTAAATTAGAAATATATTTTTACAGTTAATGCTGATTATTTATATAGGAGTCATTATATCTATAACTTTTTTATATTTAAAAAATAGTCAAATAAAAATTAAATCTCAATTTTAGAAAAAAAATGTTTTCCTAAGGCTGCATACACACTAGGCATTTTTAAATGCGCATTTTAAAGAACCAAGAGTTCTGCATATGCGTACACACTCAAACTCGCACTTTTGGCCAAGCGCGCGTTAAACACGTGTTTATAGATTTTTCTTAAAACACGCATTTTGCGGGCATCATCCGAGCGCTTTGAGATATATGTGCTGCCATGTTACTGTACATTCGATAGCGCGTTTTCGGGTAGAGTGGATGTACGTTGGCCGAAATGGAGAACGATCATTTCGATACTGATCTATTTATTGATGAAATCTAAAAGAGACCAACCATCGTCAAAGGATTTTATATAGATATTTTAAAAGAATTAAAAAACTTGGTTTTATTTTGTCTTAGTTTTGGATACAACGTCGCAAACATTCCATGCGTTAGTCTATCTCGTAATATTGGGCGCACCCAAAATTCTCTTTGTGTCTGCCATCGTCTTTTATAGAGACGATGGAGGAGGCACACACAATCAATTACTTTCACATCCATTTCCAAACTGAGCCAGTGCGTACGCTCCACAAACGCTCGTCGAACGCCGAGCTAACGCGCGTTTAAAAACGCCTAGTGTGTACACAGCCTAAGTGTTATAAAGTAATCTTTGAGATTTTTAAAAAAGAAAAATATATAAATGTGTAATAAAAGTTTATTTCTGTACTTTTTAAATTTATTATATAGATATATTAAGGATGTTGCATAATTTTAATCATAAAAACAACCGAGTAAAATCAACAAAATCATTTGGATTTATAAAATGTATATCAATTATAAAATTATTTGTACAGAAGCATTTAAAGAAAAAATTTAAATAGTGACATTACATAATTATAAAATATTTGAATATTTTTTAGTGCTTTCAGATGTTATAAAAAATATGTTTAATATTTACTTGTTAATTATTATTTATAAACTTTATTATAAAACTAAAATTTGTATGATTATATTGCATTTAAAAGGTTTTAAATTATAAATTTTGATTGATATTAAAGCTGAATGTTAAATCTACTGTGTTTATATTATTATGTTTTGTTATTTAGCCTTAACTGAAATATTTTATAAGGCTTTCATATATAAAATAAAGACTTGTACCATTTTTTCTTCTCTGATATTTTTATTTAATAAATGAAACAATCTCAAACTCACTGCAGGTAATATGTATGTATTTTTTGAAACAGCAGACTACATTTATCACAAAGATGTTTATAACTTACATTTCTGTATCATAATTTTCCTTTTCAAATAAGTCCATAAAAATTGCAATTACTAAATCTATCAAATTTTAACTGGTGAAAATTAATGTTCAGATATTAATTCTATATTTACAAAAGCGATCAACATAACATCAGCAAGGTTTTCAGATAATACCAACTGATTATACTACATGGAATTATAAAAAAAAAAACAAAGGTACTAAATATACACTTATTTTTCGATAAAATTTGTCTTGTCAGATTGCTTTATTATATCCTTAATTAACTTTGTTTAATGTTCTTAGCCTAATTTCTTTTAGCTGATCATAAAAAGTATTTTGAATAATAAATTTCATTAAAATTATTGAACAACACAATTTTTAGTAAAATTCAAATAACTTAAAATCAATAACTTAGAAACTAAAAAAAAAAATTGGTAGTTTCTTTACTTCATTCTGAAAACTGCTAACCTAAAATGTATTACTGAATAAAATTTTTGTTTTCTACAAGTAAATTATACAGGATTTCTAGTAGTTTTCTAGAAATTCTGTACAATTTGATGTCAAATTAATTCTTCAGATAGTCCCTTCTAGAAATATAAACATCAACAGAAACCTGATACTAAGCAAATATACACCCACAACTCCCATAAAAGATTGGGCTATAATTTGGACATAATGATTGTAATTAGAAATGAATTTGACGCTAGAGGGAGGGGTTAGATGCCATTTTGTATTAAAATTAATAATTATAATTTTTAATTAAATAATTTAAACTGGAAGAAAAGGATCTGTCCAAAGTAGGACTCGAACCCGCAACTCCCGCTTACTGTGCGGACGCGTTGTCAGTTACGCTACCCGGATCTCTGGTCCAATCTCGTAACAACTGATGATGGTTATGTGTTACACTTATATATACTGGAAGAGGAGATCGGATTGGAGGTCTGGTTAGCATAACCGGCAATGCATTTGCACGGTAGGCGAAAGTTGCAGGTTCGAGTCCTGCTTTGGCCAATTCTTTTCTTCCAGTTTAATCTAAATTATTTAATTATTAATTTTAATACAAGATGACACCTAACGCCTCCCTCTAGTGTCAAATTCACTTCTAATTACAATCATTATATCCAAATTATAGCCCAATCTTTTATGGCAGTTGTGGGTGTATGTAGTCCATTCTAGAATCACTTAATGTCTATTTTCATTTACAAGTTATTAAAAGACAAGAATAGGATGTATTACCTGAAAAATTCCATTTTGTAAATATAAATAATTTCTAATTATTGGTATTTTTGTGTCAAATAAAAATATATGTAAAAGGAACAAATATATGACAATAAAATTTTTGCATTTTTTTATTTTATCAGAGTTTATACAAAGTGCTCAGAGCTGATATATCCAAAGCAGTTTATATTTTAACAATAGGATGTGAAAAAATCTTTCAAAGCCATATTTTATTTAACAATCAAAGATAAATTTAAGCCTATAAGCTTTCTATATAAATTTGTGAAAAAGATAATTACATAATGAGAAGAATAAATTAAATTTTTTNTTTAAAAGTATTTTGCAAAATATTTGTCCTAATTCACGGTTTTTAGAATTTTACCATATCAATGGTTTAAATTGTGAAAATGACTTGATTTTATGGTAAAAAATTTTCTATTCAGTATAATAATGATGAAACAACTTTTTAATTATATGTATCATTAACTATAAACAACTTTAATAGGAATAATTTAAAATGACAATATTTTATACATGAATAATGAATTCTATAACGCAGAAGAGATAACCTTGATTCTTACCTGGAAATTTCATTTTTTTTCTATAATAATCTTAAGCTTTTTCTGTAGAAATAGTTCAATTTTCTAATAATAAATAATGATGGGAAGACTGATCAGTAATTAAAATTTTCATGTGAGAAGTGATAACATTAATTTATACAACAATAGCTTCTAGTCACTTTATACATAATACATTGAATATGCTTTAACAACTGCTTCACGGTCCATTTTGTAGATAAAAATCATCCACCGCTTTTGGATTTCTGTAGACATTTACTAAAGTTACTTATGTTTTATCTAGATGAATGGAGTGTTTCACCGTGTATAATAAACACGATAGTAGAGAGTTTTCGAACGCCACAATGAATAAGAATTATCAAATTTCAATAAATAGATACCTTGTCCGGGATAAACGTGGCTGCCTGCATACACTTCTTCGTGACAGTCCCTTCTATAAACAGGTATAATTACACTAGTTAATGAACGATTTGTAAGAGAGAGACCCGACTCCAGATTTCCTTCAATTTCTTTATGATTTCCTTGTTCATTTTCTAAAAATTACCAGTAAAATAAAAAATATTTATATTTTGTATACAATNCTATCCGACGAATTATTATTATTATTATTATTATTATTATTATTATTTTAATACCTTTTTTCTAATCAAATTCCGGCCAATCTAACATTAGGAATTTCGTTTATCTTGAAAAAAAAATAATAAATATTTTTCATATCAGTTGATGGAAAAGTTAGAGAATTATCAACTAGGTTCTTCTCCAGATAGATTTTTGCCCCGAAGTAAATATGCTATCCGCTTTAATATTAAATATGTTTGAATGAATTTTGACAGGAAAAATATTTTTAACTCGGATGTTTCTTTCGTTCTAATCTCAAAAATTCGAAGATTTTTCTATAATTACCCTATCGAACATGGGTAATTCTCAGGTGCGAATTGCCCTTATCGTGATAAAATGATGACAATCGTTGCCCTAATCACCCTAATCATTGTTGTTGCCTCTATCATGTCTAATCATAATTCTTGCCTCTACATCATTATAGAGAAATAATGATGTAGGGCAACAATATCATTGTTGTTACCCCTACATCATTATTTCCCTATTTCCTTGTTGTTACTCACTGTTGTTATCCCTATATCATTGTTGCCCCTAAATCATTGCTGCCCTAATCATTTCTCTATCTTGGCAAAATAAAAAATCATGGGTGAAGAATCTTATCGTGAATGCAATCAAATTCTTCACTCCATTTTTATTTTTTTACACTGAAAAATATTATGTTTTTCTTTTTTATTCTATCATCAAATCTTGTGTCTTAATGAAATATTCAAGAATTAGAATACAAACGACTGAAATCGAAACGAGCGACCACTGAACTTATAAAATTAATGCGTGAATAATGCATGTAAAGACTGTATGAGTAAATTTTACCCGAAGGAAATATTATATTAATAAAAAAACAAGTATTAATATTAAATCGGAGAGAAGATTTTTAATATTTAAAGATAGATAAATTCGTCTTTGATGCTCGAGAAATTGAAATATAAAACTTCAATGTGTGGGGGATCTGTTCGTATTGAAAAGCATCTTATTTGTTAGATGATGTAAGAACTACACAAGCAAAAACTCTATTATTATTCTTTATTAAAGAATGTTATTAAATATATTATTTTCCTATAAACATTTAAATATTTATCATTTAAAATAAAGGTTTTTTTTTTTTTAATTTGATCGGACAAATATTCGAAGAGGGAGGATGCCAATCGATAATGTAATTGATGAATAAATCATAATACTCTATTAAAAATGTATATAAAATTTAAAATTTGATAAATAATTCATATAAAAAATGAAGTCTAATCGCTAAATTTTACTTTAAAATTATTATATATTAAATTTTTCATGTTTATTTTCCTAAATTAAACTCGTTTAAATACAGATCTATTTTTTTTTTTTTTTAATATTTGTTTTCTGTGGAACGTTCAATTCGTGCGGATAATGTATTGAACGAGTCCAATTTGCCATGCAAAAATATGATTTAATCTATATTTTTTACTGCATTATCTTTAAATTATCATCGTTTGAAAGTTTATTACAGATCTGTGCATTGATATATTCGAAAATTACACTTCCCTATTTATGCTAAATTCTATTTTTACATATTAATTCCTTTCTAGGAAATGAAATTAAACTCTTGCTCACGTATCCATACATATTTTAAGACAGGAAACTGTTCAAATTTGAGCTTTTTAATAGTAAATTTTATATATTTTTTCGATGTAATTTATATACAATAATAAACACGTGTAATAAACTTAAGATATTCCAATCACGTTGCATATATATATTCTATAAAATTCCTTGAATTAATCGTCTACATTTTATCCAAGTCATATATTTATTTTTTTTTATATATGTTGTAGTTAAATCCAGTCACGTCTCTATACTTTGTGATATTATTGCTAGATCTAAAACATTTTTACTTAATTTCTTCAACCGCTTGATGAGTAAACAGAAAATTAGTTCAAATAGCTTAAGAAAATCTGGAAAGGATTTTCTAAAATTATATCCAAAGATTTAAAATAAATTATATAACAGTTTAATTTTGTTTATATCACATTAAATATTGGTTTTTTTTTTTATTAAAAACAAACTTAAAGAAACGATTTTATGGAGTGTTTTAATACTAAATTCTTCATTAAACTGAACACGAATCGCATATTTTACTGCATTTGAACGAGTGTTTACCTTTATTTTCTTCGATAATTTACAGGAAAACGAAGCAAAGATTTTGGATAATATTTTAAATTCCTTCTACAAAAACTTTACTCGAAAGTAGGAAAGACTTTAGTAAAGTTTCTCTAGATTTATGTAAAGCCTTAAGCATCTATACGCATCTTTCGCTATGTAGAGGTATTTTTTGACAGATTGACGAAGAATCCGAGCTACATACTAGCATTAAAAAGCGTTAAATCCGTGAATAAAATGTAATCTTCGAGTTTTTAATATTATGAAAATCGAAGTAGTGTTAAAACAGAATTTAGTTCAATTTTAAAAATTAAATAAACGTTATAAAAGGGAAGAAGACATTTTAAAGAATTTTCGATTTGGTATAACGGCGTAAACTTCGATTTAAGTAAATAACACGACTTTATAAGCGGGAATTGTTATCTAAATTGAATTATATACAGTTTTTCTCTTAAACTTATTTATGTAGTTGTGTTATATTCTTTACAATTTCAACATTATTGACTTTAACGTTATTTTTCGTAATGGGTCATATACCAAATAATAGCTTTATAAAGTCGGTATTATCGGATTTCGTTTTATTTGTTACCAACATCCGAGGTAAATTTCCTCCCTCTTTCAAGCAATACAATTTCCGAGATTGGTGAAAACAATCAAAATAATTCGAATAGTGTTTAAATTCTATAGATTAAATTAGAGAGAAGTAAATCCCCTCAACTTAAATTCTAATTTCTTATTAGATTTTCCTAGCTATTTACTTATAAAAATACATAAAGGATTCTTGGTTTATTGCCGAATTGTATTATTTACATCTGTTCCTATACGTCACCAAATTGAGATTTAGTTAATGTTCTTAGAGAAACGAAGGAAAGAGAATTGCAAATTTCACTACATTTTGTAACTAGTTTGGATTATAAATAATTTTTTTTAAAAAAGGACAATTTCAAGGATGACAAAACACGTTAAGAAAAACGTTTTAATTGACAAAACGAATTCCGTAATTATGAAAAGTTTCTCTTCTCAAAAGTAAATTAGCGGAGGCAATTAGGAAAATTAAATCAAAATGTCAAATTGGAAAAGATTGCGGTGGGATTACTTATTTAAAACATTTCCCCCCTTACATAATTTACGGCATGTCTTTCGAGTTATATGAATTTTAATGATTTATTCGTATAAATATTCATCCAAAAATTGCATTTTTCATCCGTCTTTCGTGTCTTCGAACGTAAAAAATATTTTTGTTAGTAGTAACCCTTCCACAAAGAATATATAATAGTAGACCTACTGGTTGTATTCACTAGCTCTTGGAAAGGTCGTGCTACATGTTCTGTAATATTAAAAACAACAGTGGAGATCGATATCCTTGTACGGGCTTCGTCCTAGAAATTCTCTGTACACCCTTTCCANGTGCTTAGCACCATATAAGGAAATTTATAAAGACCTTTTAACTAGAAGCAAGCAATCTAAAATTACATACATTTTGCAAAAGGTAAAGCATGGATCTGAAGATAATGCAGAAAAATGCTCAGAGGATAAGGATAACTTGCCAAAAAGAAAACGCTCTCGGTTAATTAATAGTGTTTTTAGTGATGACGAAGAAAACATTGTTTAATTTATATTAATATGTATCACCTAAAAATTTTTTATGAAGATATTTATCTTAATTATGAAAATATACTAGCACGTTTTTTAATTTTTGGAACCTAACCCTCCTTTTCGTATTACAGTAGTTCTTTGTTTCGAATAACACGGATTCGCATAACACGGCAATTTTTTGGAACGTAACTACTGTGTTATACGGGGGTTACCTGTATTTATCAATCAAAATTAATAGTAGGCTTATAAATAAATAAATATATATTTAATATAATATATCCAGGAGATGGCCAAACTGGCTTGCAAGCTGCATATGGCTTTTCTACATTCTTATCGCAGCTCCTATATACTTACATGATTTCTTTTTATAAACTTTGTACGTACTACTTACACACATATAATATTTTTGTAAGTTTCTGTATGATATACAGACAGATTGTAGGTGTTATTTACAACTTAACCTTGAACAGGCAAATGAGAGCTAAGGGTGCATCATAAATCATAGGAGTTAAATGATTGTTTATCTAGATAACCATAAAGTATCAGTAAAGTAACACTGTTAGTTACTATAGAACAATGATAAATATAATATTTTGAGTATATATAAATAGATGATGTGATTCACCAATAGGCATTTCCAATAGAGGATGAGGCTTGTATATTTCTGGTAAGCAAATTTGTCTGCTATCATAACAAGATTTGGCTCACTACTATACATATTAACTATCTCCTTTATTTTCTGTAAGAAGTCTGCTTCTACTCAATGTAACTTATTTATATATGCTACATTGGCCTCATTCATTGATTCACTGATGTGATATAAGTTTGTAGAAAATAAAAATAATATAATTGAAAGGAACATCAAGTACTGTATATTACTATTTTTTAGATTTCAGTTTTTCTGGTAAAATATTTTAAGTGATATGAAATGTCAAAGTTTAAAACTTACTGTATATAAAATTAAAATGGAGTTGAAATGAGTAATTTGAAGCACCATCTGTCTGCTTTCAAACATATTTATTAATTTTTTTCACATTATAATGCTGTTTTGTCTTAGTGTCAGGTATTAAATTTTTTGATTATATATTATTTACAATTAATTTATGTAAGCTAATACTGTTTATGAAGAATAATTGTTATAAATTACAAAAAATATGGAGTAAATTACAAAGCAATACAAAACATCAGATTG